TCTATATCAGGCATACTGTACCACTTTGGATTTGGCAAAATTAAAATGCCGTGGAATGTAGGCATATATCTATTTACCTAGCAAGATGTTCGATAAAAATTTATGCTGTCTAATGATCCATGTATGATTAACCAATAAAAATCTATCACAGGACTATCTACTAATATTCAATCATAATTACTGGTTAAGTACGTACGTACATAATTTAACAGTTGATCAAGTTTATTTATCGTTATCATATTTATATACTGTATAACTTATATATATATTTTATTTTTATATAAACCTGTATAGCAAAGAAAATTACTTAACAAAAACAGATTATGAGTGAAATAAATATAATATATACGTTCTGATAAATGTAAATGCAGCAAAGAAAAATGGCTTGTTGGGCCATATTTATGTCATATTAAGATTTTACAATTTATTTTTGAGTATTTAATGTATTTCTAATTTATAATTTATTAACATAATAACTTTAAGATAAATTTTCTTGAAAACAGGTAAAATTTAAAAACTATAACTTGGCTGGGTCAACTTTGAAAAAAATTTTTTATATAATATTAACTGAGTGTTCAGGTGTCTTTATAATTATAAAAATAAAAATTATATAAAATTTAAGCTAAAATTTAAATTATCAGGTCTTCAGATCTAAAAGATCTGAACAGTTGTTTTTTTAAATAAGTTTTTTTTTTTGTTTTTTATTAAGTTTCTCTTTGTCTTTCAATAGAATAATTTGTTTTATATAATTCAAAACCAGGAATAGGGCAATTATTATACATAGCAATTGTTGTTTTTCTTTTCATTCTCACACTAACAATTGCTTCCAAATCAGCAGTAGTTATTTAATTTCTATTCTCCTGATCATGCTTATCCCAAACTTTTTGAATTGCACTCACCCAATCTTCAAAAGAAACATTAATAGTTTCCTCAGGCTTAGGCTTTTCTACTTTTTGAAGAAATGAAACTTCAGGAGCTGGCATAGAATAGAATTTTTGGCATACAGCGAATATATGCTTGCATGCCATTTCACAAAGTTTATAATCTGGGCATGTACACTCAAGGTGTGCTTGTTTTATATTAATATTTTCTTGTATATTATCTTTAATATTAATTTCATAATTATTATCATCATTTGCTGATGATTTCACATAATAATAATACCTACCAGATATTGCAAAGCTTTCTATATCTGAACATGCAAGTTCTCAACAGTGTTGCTCTTTTTGACAGGGTTTCATTCTTCCAATCATCAAATTGACAGCTCTATATTCAAACTCTGCATCTGTTAATGCAGCTCTTAAGGTCCAAATTAGAGTGTCAATTTGATGATTTTGCTTGGCACTTAGGTATATATATTTAAGTTTTTTGTGCCATGATTCAATAAAATTTGTCATGTTCATTTCTTGGTGTTCATATAATCTATGTGCATCAATCCATTTTTCATGGTTACTAAAATATTCTTTTTTCAAATATTTAGCCCATGTTGATTTACCAAGATTAATCCACTGGGAAAAATAACTATCAAGTTTATTTTGAACTTGTGAAGCATCACGAAGTGCATTATATTATTAAGCTCATCTAATGCAGCTTTTTGTGTCACCTGTTTTTTTGACCATTTGTAAACACTATCATCAAAAGCCTCAAAAAATTCACTATCAGCTTTAATCTTATTTTTATTTTTTTGCCAAGCATTCTTTATATGCCACTGGCAAAGCAAAATTCTTGCATTAGGAAAAACTGTATTAATAGCTTTTTATTAGGCATCATCACAATCTGAGAGAAAAGTATGAGGTTCCTAACTTTCATTTTGATTTTTTATATTTGTAAGCCAGTAAATTAATGTATTACTGGTTTTTTTTTCTGAAATTAGATATGTAATAGAAATGCCTTGACCACCATTATCATCTCGAATTATTATAGTAAAAAGATAAGTATTATGTGCTGTTGTTCCATATATTCCATCCAAACACACAGTTTGAGCACTTTTACATTTTAATAATTTTCTTTGAAATTCAGTTTGAAACTCAAATAGGTAACCTAACTCAGAGCCCCATATTAAATTGCTACAGATATATGATTTATCTTCTTGGTATAAGGCAATCTATTCATTGATGGATACATCTTTGCTATAGTCTTTATCTTTATTATCTAAGAAAATAATATCTTTCATCTCATCACGCACTATATTATAAACATCTATATAAGAGAGATATGCATCTCTTCTTTGAGTTAAAGATAAGGAGTCTAAATTATTAATATCACAAATTTGATTAACACTTGGTAAACATTGATACTATTTGAGCTAGTTTTATGCCATCTTTTGCCCTTTCCCGAATTTATTCTTTTGCATGCTGTAATAAATGAATATTATGCAAATCCTCATTGGTTCTAGGAGAATATCAATTATGAAGAGTGTATTGAACAATATGAACTGAGTTATCTTTTTTACCCCTGCATTTTAATACTCTTAAGTAGGATTTACATCCTACCTTTTTGGTTGGCTTTTGGATTGGTTTAGGATTATTATGACCTCATAAGTAATGTTGTAGTTTGATTCACAACTTTAGTTTTCATTCTAGGTTTTTCAGCACAATGGCACTGATATGTATCATTTAACTCATATTCTTGATTATTTCATCTAGTATGTCGAATATAATATGCTCCAGAAATATTAGAAAGAATATTTTTAATCCAGTCTATATATATATCTAATTTAAGATGAGTATATACTTTAATGTAATTATTTGGATCATTGCTTTTACTTTTATTGATTATGTCAATTTGACTTAATTCATAATTATTTCATTGATTTCAATTTGACTAGATTCATAGTCAACTTCATCGATTATATCAATTTGACTAAAATCATATTCAACTTTATCGATTATGCCAATTTGACTAGATTCAGATTTACTAAGCAGGTCTACTATATTCATTTTTTTGTAAAAAAAAAAAAAAAAAAGAATTTGTTGTTTTAATGTATGAGAACTTTGATTAAAGATAAGTATATAGAATTTTTCGAGCTAACAGTTAATGCTAATATGAAGATAATATAATTCTAAGGTTGATTCTTTTATATTTTTAGATACAATTAGTAAAAGGTCTTTGCAATTTTATTTAATGTCTTGTTATTGGCATTTAGCAAATAATTTTTAGAATTTATAGATGCTTAGTAAAAAACTTTTCCAGCTTTTTTTTATTATCTTTGCATTAGCATGCAATGATTAATACAACCAGTAAAAAAAGCTATCGCTTTTTTTTTTTAAGAAAAAAAAATCCTGAAATCAGCATGAAATGATTATTTTTCATTTTATCTTTTTAATTAATTATTTTATTATTTTTTTTATTCTTATGAATTCAGCAAGCATTAGAGAAATGATTTTATTGCATGCATTCAGAATTGAATTAATTAGTATACATTTTTGCATGCATTTAAGAATTGAATTATTTATGCATTTTGAGAGATCATTTGAACTGGGAGTATAAAACCTGAAAATACTAATTTTGCAATTTTGCAATTATGTTAATTTATTTTTTTATAAATAAATTTTGTTTTTATTATGCATAGTAAATAAGTATATTTATTGCACAATTGGCATATATATTTATGGCACTATTTAACTGTATACCAATTTTCATAAAAATATATTATGTATAGCAAAGTTTTCATAAATGAAAAAAATTTCTTGTATATTTAGAAAGTATTCACAAATCGAATACATTAAGCATTAATTAAAAAATTTAAAATTTGATAGTATATCTGTATGCAATATGCAATTAATTAAATTAATTATTAAATAAATATTTATTACACATATTAAATGAGTGGAATTCAGTATATAATTGACATGATTTATATGCATAATTTTATTCATGATAAAACTTGGTTCTATTAAATCTTCGTGAATAATGAATTTTATGCATTTAGACAGTATTTAAAAATTGAATACAGTAAATATCAATTGAAAAATTTGACAATATAAAGTATGTGTATAAATGTATATTAAAATGTAAGCTATTAGAATAATCACTATTATAAAATGTAATTTATTCAAAATAAAATGCATCACAAATCAGAACTAACAGTATACATGAATGAACTAGCAACCTAAAAATAAAAATTTGAATGTAAAATTTTATTGTTCTATATAACACATTACAACTTTGGCTAATCATTTATATTTTCTATCTAGCAAATTTATGTTTATAAAATTTACCTAGTAAATTGTAATAATGCGCAAGATTAAAATTATTAACTACTTTAAGCATTATCACTAAATGGGTAATTATTTTTGAACCCGGACTGATTTTATATATATAATATAATAACATTTTGGTCTGGATTCAAAAATAAATACCCAAATACATATAACAGTCTTTTAAACTTATGACTTGTATTCAATGTTTTTTTTTAGGTATCTGCGATCTAGGTTAAATTGAGTTCCTTGGCTAGAGAATGAATTTTGTTTATCTTTATTTCTGTATGTAATTGTTAGTAAATAGTCCTGTGATAGATTTTTTATCAGGAACGTAGTGGAATGAAGTGCATAGTTCAATTAGAGTTTTGCGTTCGTCTACAAAATCTTGATTCTGATTAGATACTCTACTTTTGTATGCTTTATACTAAATAGTCAATGATCTGCTTTCTTTTTTGCACATGCACGAGATCTTAAAATTGTTATTTTATAAATAGATGCATACACGTTCACGTGTAATGACTTGGTTCATTTATCAAAGACTCAAATAATATTTTCATTTTTAAATAAGTAGAAGAGTAATGTATGCTAATTAATTAGTCATTTTTTAACAAATATTTTATTATTTATTTTTGCCCATGTTGCCATTAGATGCAACTTTTACAATAACAAGTTCAATGATAACAGATAATATGGTAATATATCTGGATTTTATAATATTAAGTATGGTAAATGAACTAAATATTTTTTCATTTATTTAGCTGTTTTATTTTCTTTTTCTTTTTCACTTGTTCTAATACTTCATTTTCTCTTTTTAGGCTGATCTTCTTCATTTTCATCCATTGCCTTTATATTTTTGTTGGAAAGTATTTCGTTTTCTTCTTCATGATCGCTTTTCTGTTCTTTATTGTCATTCTTTGCTTCTAAATTCAAGTTATTTTTTTTCAAAAGTTGGATTAATTTCTGCACTAGAGTTAGCAAAAATGAATGAGGTTTTAGAAGAAAATTAACAGTTGAAAGTTTGCATGGTACTGGATTCAGAATCATCGGCAATAATATCGATAATTGAACGAGTTTTTTGTAATTTATCAGATAAAATTTCAGACACAGTAAAATTATAAATTGAAGATTTTTGATAATCAATATCTGTGGCTTCTATTAGCATTTTATTAGAATCAGAAAATTTGATGAACCCTGAGATAAGATAATTATTTGTTACTTTAATATTAATTCCTGATGAGCCTAGATACTTGAATCTCACAGACTGTAAAGGATATAGAACAATCATTTCCATTTTGATATTGGTCGATCCAGTGACACCATTATATTTTACACATTCCATTCCAAAATAGATGAATTCTTTAGTTTTTTTTGAATTACAATTTACATTAGCAGAAATCGTAAGATGAGAATCACATACAGGGACACTTATCATATCAAATTCATGTTCAGGTTTTCCACTATCAATGATGTTGGTATATGCGACAGTTATGCATTCCTCAGAATTTTCTACTATATACTTACCAGAAATAAATACAATATCTCCAGAATTAAACAGTTGAGGTGATTCGTTTGAGGAAAAAGGTTGTATATCAGAATTCCGAAACACAAAATCCCAATACACAAAATCTCGGCAACAAAATCCCGATACACAAAATCCTGACAAATTAAAATCCTAAAAATATTAAAATTAGGAATTTAATTTGTCAGGATTTTGTGTATTGGGATTTTGTTGTCAGGATTTTGTGTGTTGGGATTTTGTGTGTTGGGATTCTGATATATAACCGAGGAAAAAAAATGTTTCCATCTGATAGTATATGAAATTTGATTAGAAAGTTTATATTTAGCCACCCCATATGAATATGATCGATTATTCTTTGCTAAAATGATAACAATAAGAAGGCAAAAGTGTGATGGCATGTTTTCTTATGACCCTCTGTAAACTTATTATGATTAAGAAAAAAAAAATTATACTGTTGAGGTCTGATTTTTATATAAAATAGCCCCCAATTTTTTTTCAATACATATGAATAAATTATAATACCAAACTGTGAATAATATTTAATTCTTATCGCTTTGAGAAAAAATCTTGATTCGTAAGATTTTTTATAATTAGTTCCATGCAAGTATATTATGATATTATTTCTGGTCTAAGACTTTTAACTAATTTATGGTCCAGAATATTATTCTTATATAAAGAAAGCATTTGACGAACCCCTAATTTTAGGAATCGTACGATATTTTTACTGAAATACAAGATTGATTCTTGAAGGTTAATTATTTGCTAGCATGGTTAACTTTTGACTTTCAAGATTCTTAATTTGTTAAATTTCTTGAAAATAACTTGTTTCAACTGTACTGTGCCTTGTTGATCATGCCAGTGATGTACCGTGGATCTACTCTTAAAAAATTTAACCACATATTAATCAGTATATATTAAGCAATAATGTACCTAATTTTTGTGTAAAACCTGATCAACCCTTGCTTCTTATGGTTATTGCATAATTAACTAAATTTACATCTGTATGAAAAAATAACCCTTCTGGAAATGATCAGTTTTAATATTACTACTCTTACCGTATAAATTACTTTTAAATTAAAATCTAAATCTTGAAACTTTCTTCTCTGTTAAAAAAGTTAATTGAATACCACAAATCTTATATTACTATCATTTTAACATATGATTATCAGGATATTTGCATGTGCTTCTACTAAAGCCTACTGTAATAAATTATGAATTTTAATAACTGGTTATTCCTGTTTTCTTACCGCGTTCTTTTTACTTTTTCTAATTATAACTAATCTAATCTTTTTTATTTCTATACTTTATTTAATGATACATTTAAGCCTGGATATCTATCTCTGTATCCCATTATCTTTATAAGATCTCTAACGATGAAATAACAACTGCGCTTGCTTCAAGATTGGGTTCTGCCACCTATGATTTAAGTATAATTCAGATTAGTGAATAAGATTATAAAAGCAATAGTAAAGATGATT